AATTTGCATGAGTTAAGATGAGATGTTTGATGAAATGTAGAATTTAAGCCATGGATTCAAGTAATTACTTACCAAGAATGATGATATTAACTGGTAAACTCCTTGAAGTCACACACCAATGCTCGAAAATTTGGAGAAAGGGGAAGAGTTCTTGAGAGTTTTTCTTGTAAGAGTTTGATCAAAATGAAAACGGTGGTGGTGTGGGGTGCTCTCGGCCATGGATAAGGAGAGAGGGGGGAAAAAGAGATGAGCTTGCCTTGATACATGAAACTATGCATGGATACATGGAAGATATTACTTAGAGATATGTTGGATAATCATGAGGTGTCAACCTAAAAGTCAACTCTCTTAATCTCCTTCTCTCTCTCTTTTTTTTCCCACTTGGGCCGAAAATTAGAGAAAAGAGAAGTATGTTTTGGGCCTTTTTGCTTAAATCCATATTGTGGGCCCAATTTGATGATTTTTCAACCCATTGGGCTCCTATGATGGTTTACGACCCAATTTGTCAAAAATAATGGGCTTCATAGTCCATTAAGGCTAACTAGGTTAGTTATGGCCCAACAAGGCCCATTAAAGTATTTTACTTCATTCTAGGTCCAATATGGCCCAAAATGTTAAAATAAATGAAAGTGGGTCCAATTAGAGCCCATTTAAGAGTTTTAAGCCCAAAATAGTCAAATTGGAAGTTTATTGGCCCATTAGGCCCAATAAGGAAATCCTAGTCCATAATGAACTTAAATCGGGATTTCTAGGGTTTCCAATTATTTGTTGACTATTTGCAGTGTTTGCATAGAGCGTTTGATGGATAATTTGTTGTTATTGAATAAGCATCATATGTGCTTTCACGTTGTTGGTTCACATTTGTTATCATTGTTAAATGTTTACAAGGAATCGAATTTCCTGGTTGTGACAAACATTCTAATATATTCTTATGCATCTAACTTAAATACAAATTCATACATATTATTACAACCTAAAAACCTTATGCATTTTAATATAATTATACATATTTCAAAAGAATATCAACAAAAATGAATAAAATTCTTAAAAAATAACAACATTCTGCTAGAATATTCTCGTTCTCTTTGTTTTCTTCATTTTCCACATCAAAGGTAGCCCCTTCAAAACCTTAAGAAAAAAAACATGATCAACTTTAAAATATTATAACTTTCAGTATATTCTACAAGAATAAACTATAAATTCTAATAGAATGTGTTGGGCATTAAAGACTTTTAATTTATTCTAACATAATGTAATACTCAAGTCACTTGACCAAGTGTTCCCCGAATAATGAAATCATATTATGAGAATAATTGTCATGATATCATATTATGTCAGAATAAGTGGCATATCGAGAGAAACATCTATTACAAAAAAAGCAAAAAAAAAAAAAAAAACAATTTCTAATCGAATCATATTATGTAAAGTGAAATTACCATTTAACTCTAACATAAAATATATAAAATGAAATACCGACCATCTCCATGGCTGTCAAAAAATGTAATTCCTTCCAAATGCCCCATTAGGATTCCAACAGGTTTTCCTTTTGATCTCAAGCATCTTCTGTCCCAAACCTATATATAAATAAAATCCATCTTATATCACTATTTTCCCATCCATTTATAAAAAAAATTAAAAAAAGGATTTCCAACTACAAACAACTGTTTCTTATTACCTTACATAAATTGTCATCACTCCTAGAATATATTAGATGGTTGGCTTCATCAACAAAGCACACATTGTTTACATCCGACTGCATCATGTAACAACCTATGTTACTCTAATAAATAATCCAACCAATTCATAACAAATCAATCAAGATCCACAACAAGTCGTCAATAATCAAGTATTTTTGGTTTTACTAAATAAATAAATCACATTCACTTCAGCCAAAAACGATATGCATTCTCAACCAACAACCTAATTGTAAAATCAAGATTAATTATTGCTAAAATGGGTATACTATTACCATATGTGTTTGAATTCTAAGGGAAAGTATGTTTGCTTCAACATCATAAACATAGATTGAATCATCAATACTTCCAGCTACAAGTTCTCTACCATCAAAGAATGGTGTCTCATATATTTGAAAAAAATAAAAAATTTAAAAATATTCAACTCAAAAAAGTTATCATAGATCAATAAAGTTTATGTAAACTTACCAGCATCTCCTCGTTAACTAGTGATTCAAGAACAGATTGAGTAACCCCAAGTTTCTTGATTTTTCGCACAAATAAGAAAGGGGAAGGGTTTCCTCGTTAATTGATACTTCTAGTCAATCAACCCCTGCCGCCCTCGCTTCATCCTCCAAACACCGAGAGGTATCAATTTCTCTTCCCAATGAAAGACAAGAGGCGACGACCTCTTGTGTTGCTCGCCCCTCCTCGCGAATTCAGCCATTGGACCATTGGTCGACCTTGCGGTCGTTCTCAACTGTGGTCCTCCTTCTCGATTAGAATGCACATATCAAAGTCCTTTCCCCCCAATGATTCTTCCTCATGCTTTCCTTTGTGTATCTTTCATCGCCTCGTTGTGTACCTTTCCCTCTTTCCCAATCAAGCAAAAAACAAGTTGGAAAAAGCCCTACTATTCTGATTGGTTGGGGAAATAAGCCACAATCGATTTCAATGGGGTTGGACATTAGTCAACGATGGGAGAAGACGGTGGGCTAGGTTTATAAGAAGGAGATGACGAATAAAGAGAGAAAGACTAGGTCAAATATATTTATTTTATTTCCTTAATTGCAGGATTTCAATTAAATGATTTCCTTAATTAAAAGCACAAAAGGTCCAAAATATCATTTAATGATTTATTTAATTATTTATTATTTCTTGAATTCTCATTAATGCATTTAGGCACACAATAGTTAGTAGAAACATTTGAACCTAACTCTATTTTTCTCTCTCTCTTTATCTCTCTCTCCCCCTCTTTTTCTCTCTCTCCTATATATATATATATATATATATATATATATATATATATATATATATATATATATATATCACTGTTGTAAAAATCCCGATTAGCCCCCGATTAATCTCCGATTAATCCCTAGGCACTACTCAACCGATTAGAGGGCGCCTAGCGATTAATCACTGCATACACAATGAGTGAAACATTAGAACTCGATGAAAATTTAACACTTTGAAGAAGTTATATCTCAATAGAAACGTTCTAAGGTATGATTAGTCTTTTATTAATCATATTAACCTATTTTGTTATGATATTAGTGGTATTTATGAACCTTTATATGATACTAGTCATATTTAATTTTTTAAAAATCAGCAAATTAGCAATTAATATTCCCCGATTAATCTCCGCCTAGCCGATTAATCCCTTAACTCCAGTCCACCGACTAGCTAACGTCAAACGATTTTTACAACCTTGATATATATATATATATATATATATATATATATATATATATATATATATATATATATATTATGGGAAAAGGGAATATACCCTTAAGGGTATATAAGCTTACGTACCCAAACACGCCATAATACGTCGTTTTATTTGATATATTCATTATAATGTTTTTAAAATTCAACTAAAACTTGATTTACTTTCAAGATTTTCGAAATTTCATTATTATATTTCTCTAACATCACATATTTTTTGCCGAACACCTACTAGGCTATATATATTGTAGTTGAAAATGAAAGTTGTGTAAGAGGAAGACAAATGTGTAATGTATAAAAATCATGGAAGCAAATCAATTTAGAAGTTAAATTATAAGAACATTGGATAATTAGAATGTATTATATGATACAAAACGACGTAGTATAGTGAATTTGGGTACGTAAGCTTATATAAGCTTAGGTACCCAAAGTCACTATACTACGTCGTTTTGTATCATATAATATATTCTAATTGTCCAATGTTCTTATAATTTAACTTTTAACTTAATTACTTCTATGATTTTTATAAATTACACATTTATCTTCTTCTCACATAATTTCCATTTTCAACTACAATATATATAGCCTAGTAAGTGTTCGCCAAAAACATGTGACGTAAGAAAAAGATAGTAGTGAAATTTCAAAAATTTTGAAAATAAATCAAGTTAAGAGTTGAAGTTCAAGAACATTATAATGAATATATCAAACAAAACGACATATTATGGTGTGTTTGGGTAAGTAAGCTTATATACCCTTAAGGGTATATTCACTTTTCACTTCGCAGGGTTTCCAGGATTTGTCGGAGATGTTGGCCATGCTCTTATTCGCTTCGAGAATAAACTAGAATGTCGTCAATGAAAACAATACCAAAGTTGTCGAGGAATGGTCGGCATATTCGATTCATTAGGTCCATGAATGCGGCAGGGACATTCGTTAGACCGAAAGGAATTACGACAAATTCATAATGTCCGTAACGAGTTCGGAAAGCGGTTTTGGCAATATCCTCTTCTCGGACCTTGAGTTGATGGTACCCGGATCGTAGATCTATCTTAGAGAAGTAACTAGCTCCTTGGAACTGGTCAAATAGATCGTCGATTCGTGGGAGTGGATAACTATTTTTGACAGTGAGCTTATTCAGTTCTCTGTAATCAGTGCACATCATAAAAGATCCGTCATTCTTCTTGACAAAGAGGACTAGAGCTCCCTATGGCGAGAAGTTGGGTCAGATGAATCCCTTGTCCAGGAGTTTACTGAGTTGGATGGACAATTCTTGCGTCTTAACAGTGAAATTTTGAAAATCTTCAAAGTAAATAAAGTTAAGGTTGAAGTTTAATAACATTATAATGAATATATCAAACAAAACAACTAATTATAGTGGGTTTGGATACATAAGCTTATATACTCTTAAGGATATATTCACTTTTCCCATATATATATATATATATATATATATATATATATATATATATATATATATATATATTTCAATACTTGGGTAGAACATAAAAAAGTGAAACCAAATGGGCCTTTTTGTAGAACATTGGTATCAAGACTTTAACTAGTTTGTAAAGTACAAGGGGTCGATTTGTAAAAAAAGCAGCAAAACATTGTATATAAACGTAACAACACCACAACCCCTTGAACTGCTGAGCGGAAACCCTAGCTGCTGTTTAAACGCCGCCGCAGATTCAAGGATCTGACTGAAGATGAAGGTTTGAATGCTATTCAAAATTTACAATGAACTTTATTTGTGTTTCCGGTAGTTTAAACATTCTTAAATTATATCTGCGTTTTCGTAGTTCAACATTGCCAATCCCACCACTGGGTGCCAGAAGAAGCTCGAGATTGACGATGATCAGAAACTGTAAGTTTAATTGTTGTTTCATGTACGTTTTCGTCTTCTGGATTTGTAACAGAGGTCATTGTTAATGGCGATTTCTTGGAATAACATTAGGGTTTCATAGAAATCAGGGCATTACTAGTTTTTATCAGTCTTTCTGTGACTTAAAAGCTTGATTTTGTTCAAATATCTGTTTTAAGGTTTTTGGTCTATTTAATAAGTGATAATATTTTGATGTAAATTCAAATTACTGTGAAATGCAAATAGATTTATACTGCTTGTTTACCTGGTTTTGTTCAAAGCATGATATACACATTTTGATCAACTTTGAGGATTTTTGTGATTTTATGTTTGTTGATTATTAGCTTTTAAATTCAAAGCATGATATTTTTTTTTTGTTACTTGATATGTATATAAAACTAGGACCACTTATCAGATGTTGCAATTGCAAGTATAGGACTTCATAGAGGTTATCTTTGGTAATATTTATTTTTTTAGGATCGAAATATATAAAACCAAAACTATTATATCCTATGATGTAGGAAGAAATAAACACTCAAACATGAATAATTGAAGAAGTGAAATTCTAGCAATTTCTTCCTTAACGTTTTTAATTTTTTTTTTCTATTCTTTAGTCGAGCGTTCTATGACAAGAGGATCTCACAGGAAGTTAATGGAGATGCCCTTGGAGAGGTACATTTACATTTCTTCTTTCTTTTACTAACATTATATTTATATATCCATCATCTACTTAAATTAAAAATATATAACAGGAATTCAAAGGTTACGTCTTCAAAATCATGGGAGGTTGTGACAAGCAAGGGTTCCCAATGAAACAAGGAGTTTTGACTCCAGGGCGTGTTCGCCTTCTATTGGTCAGAGGTAATTCAATCGAGAATAAATTTTTAAAACTTATAAAAAACAAATGGATGAAAGTATGTTGTTTGTATCAGGAACACCGTGTTTCCGAGGGTATGGAAGAAGGAACGGAGAGAGGAGGAGGAAGTCAGTACGTGGTTGCATTGTCAGCCAAGACCTTTCGGTTTTGAATTTGGTGATTGTGAAGAAGGGAGACAACGATCTTCCTGGTTTGACTGATGTGGAGAAACCAAGAATGAGAGGTCCAAAAAGGGCGTCAAAGATTCGCAAGCTTTTCAACCTTTCAAAAGAGGATGATGTTAGGAAGTATGTTAACACATACCGAAGAACATTCACCAACAAAGCTGGTGAGTTGTTTATTTTGTATGAAGTAAAAAGGAAAAAGAGTGTTTGTATTATAAGAACTAATTGGATTGTTATGTGAACATAGGTAAGGAGGTGAGTAAAGCACCAAAGATTCAAAGGTTGGTGACTCCATTGACTTTGCAAAGGAAGAGGGCGAGAATTGCTGATAAGAAGAAGAGAATTGCCAAGGCAAAGTCGGAGGCTGCTGAGTATCAGAAGCTGCTTGCAAGCCGATTGAAGGAGCAGAGGGAGAAGCGAAGTGAGAGTTTAGCTAAGAAGAGATCCAGGCTTTCTACTGCATCTAAGCCATCTATTGTGGCTTAGGTTTTATGTTGTTTTTGATTTACAACATGTTTTTGTCATAATTTTGATCAGATGTTTTTTGGATTTTTGTTTTGATGTTCAACTCTACTTTATTGTTGGATGTTATTATTGTTAAAGTGAGGCTGTTTGGACTATATGTTATGGCTTTTGGCATTTTGATGTTGCAGTGCTCAAGTTAAAGGCAGTGATATCTCAGCATGAATTTCTTGTTGTCTACTAAAAAGCTCAAATATTAAATAAAAAAGAACTTGTTATTTGATGATAAATAGTCAAAAGCTTAATTTTTAGATTAAAATTTAAATGGCTTTTTCCAGGGTGTGTAACTAGGTAGCTATTTATGTCCACCAAAAATATTAGTAGAATATCATTATAACATATTTTTCAGTTCAATTTCGAGAATTTTTTACACAAAAACAAAATTGAAGGTTTATAAAAGTAGTGGCATTCATGGGCATATGTTTTGGTTTCTTTAAATTAGTAAGAGCTTCGATTTTCAGCCCTATGTTTTGGTTTGTAAAGCCTCACATTATAGCACCCTACTTTCAGTTCTTTATATTTAGCTCATTCTGAACTCTGAAGTACAATAATCTTAATAAGAGAAAGTAATCATGTACATGGACAAATTTGACCTGTGCAATACATTTTTACAAAAATAAAATAAAATACATTTTTACAAAAATAAAATAAAAATGAAAGTAGGGTTTTATAACTGAAAAAAGCTAAAGTTGGATGTTAAAATAAATTGTCATTATCTCTTGCATGTAACATTTTATTATATTATATGGAATTTTTGGTATAGAACTAATGAAAACTAACTATTATAAAGTTTATCAAAACTAAAAATAACTAAATGAGTTTATAATAATAATAAAAACATTAAATTAAAAATAATAAATAAAAATCAAACATTAAGATGTACATAAATAAGAATTGGTTATGTTACAATTTTTTTGTTCTTTCAAAGAAACTACACCGGATAAAATAAAATCAAAATAAAATAAAGGAAATCACATTACTTTAAATGATCCATTCAATCAAAGCAAAACACACTGTTATTTCATCAAAACTCTCCAGGTATAAACTATAAAATATAGCAAAACTAATAAAAATATTGTAATTTTGGTAAACTACTTTATTTCAAGAATGTTACAAACATAATACAAAAATTAAATATGTTAGCTAAAAGTAATTATTCAAAGCACCCCACACAGTTTCCTCAACGTCCTCCCATGATTTTGCACTCCTCAATTCTTTACACATACCAAAAATCGCCCCTAATATATTCTCCTCGTGTATTATACAATAACACCTGTGCAAAAATCAATACCATTTTCAACAATATATATATATATATATATATATATATATATATATATATATATATATATATATATATATATATATATATATATATATATATATATATATATATATATATATATATAGCCTATTCATGAACGACTAACATTGTTAGGTACGATATTCTTCTGACTACCCTTCCATTATCCCATGAATTTCTTTTCCCAAAAGGAAGCCCATAGTTTTCAAGAAGCAAATTCAGGAGCTGTAAATCTCCACGAAATATATCCAAGTGAATCGGGATCAAATCCAATATTGGATCACCTAAAAAAAATAAAAGAAGATTGAAATTCATTGAATGTTGATCTCTCGTTTACGTTTATGTAAAAAAGACGAGAATGCCCTTGTTACCTAGAGACATATTGCTGAAATCATAAATATAACTTGGATACCATGATGATATTTCCTTGTCATTATTTGACCCATTCACACCACTAGAACACTGCTCCAAGTGAATATTGTCATCCATTATATCCGTGTGTACCCAAGAGCAAGAATTCCTCACTTGAAACAAACCGTTTTTATCCTAAAAAAAGAAAATTCAAAACAAATAAATAATCCAAGTGCATATGAAGAACAATGAAATTAGTTGAACACTACTAACCTTGAACAAACTATGCAACTCTACAAAGTCATTTGGGAGATATTCATTAACTTTCTCAATTAGTGCACTTGGAATGGGATAACCCCTGTATTATTATATGCAAGAAATGAAATGATATAAACAAATGAATGATATAAGTTGAAGCAACTTACCACTTAGTCAAACGACTTGATACATCTTTCTTTTTCCTATTGAGAATTGTGAAGAAAACCTTTGATGATTTTGGGAGATTGATTTTTTCATTAAAATCATTCTCATGGTTGAACCCTAATTCCTTTCCCATTTGTAAATATGCTGAATCGTTCAGAGGAGTAACGGGTAAGACATGGAGATGATGCAATTGCCTCCCTAAAAAGGAAGCTAGATTGGAAATCTCCTTATATGAGAGTGTATCTCTTCTGAAAATTTAGAAAAGTATATTAATCAATAATTTTGAATTTGAATCTATCCATTCAAATGAATAAAAACCAAGGCTATTTTCGATAATGTGGATGAGGAGGGTATTTATGTCTTTTACACAAATGAGAGATTATGAACAAGTTCCTAAGACTAAATAAGCAATCTAAATGTTCATTTTAGCCTCTTACATTCTTATAAAAAAAAGGGAAATCTCCGATAAAGTCCCAACATTTTGGGCCAGTTTACGGTTTAATCCCACACTTATTTTTGAGTATATTACATGAATGGTCCCTATGGTTTGGGGTAATTTGCACGTTTGATCCCTAGCTTATTTTTTTAACTCGGAAGGTACCTACTGTTTGTTTTTGTTGAGCGCTTGGTCCCTATCTTACATAAAAAGACTATTTTGCCCTTGATTTTTTAACTTATTTAAATAAACACACCCCCAACCTTACTTCCATCTCACATTACCTTAACTTACCTATTCCACCTTATTTAAATAAATTAAAAAAATCAAGGTCGCAACAAAAACATAAGGACCTTCCAAGTTAAAAAAAAAATTAGGGACCAAACATGCAAATTACCCCAAACCATAGGGACCATTCGTGTAATTTACTATTTATTTTTTGAACATAAAAGTCCCGATTATCTAATCTGTCATTTTCTGTTGTTCAAAAAATAAATGTTGGGACTAAACCATAAACTGATAAAAAATATTGAGACTTTATCCCAAAAAAATGTTCATCAATAAAATAAATATATATATAAATTTTAACATGAGAGGATTTGTGAGGAAAAAAGAAGAAATTTTATGGTTTAAGGACATGTGTAATTAATTGAGCAAAAGGGTACTTACAAGTCAGCAAATATTTTCCCTTTGCATCGTTTAGTAATAATGTAGGGCCAAATGTTTGTTTGTCCACCAGAAACGACCAATTCGTCCAAACTCATATCAGCTTTCCTATACTCAAATAGCTTTTTGCTCCAGATGCCAAAAGGGTACTCAGTATCAGAAAATATTTCTTGAATTGTACTATTTTTAGTAATTACATCAGGTACACCTTTTCCATCCCATGGCACAATTTTATATTCTCCATTTTCGATAAAAACTATCCCACTTGCTAAAATATTAGGAACATGATGTTTCAAAGTAGAATCCGACCTCTGCATTATACTGTAGAACTCAAGCTGCAGAGATGCAAATCATATTACATAAGGATTGTTTCAGTTAGGGCTAGTAAGTCTATGTTTGGCAGACTAGCTGAAAAGTTGGCTGTTAACTGTAAAACTAGCTGATAATTGAAAAGATGGCTGCTAGCTCATAAACTAGCTGATAAAAAGATAACATTTGGAATAACTAGCTACAATTTGTAAAACGACACAAGACTAGTTGAAAATCTAGCTGTTAACTGTAAAACTAGTTGATAACTGAAAAGCTGACTACTAGCTCATAAACTAGTTGATAAAAAGATCATGTTTGGTAAAACTTGCTGGAATATGTAAAATGACATAAGACTAGTTGAAAAGCTAGTTGCTAATTGTAAAACTAGCTGATAACTGAAAAGCTGGCTACTAGCTCATAAACTAGTTGATAAAAAAAATAATGTTTGGTAAAACTAGCTGCAATATGTAAAATGACATAAAAAGAAAAAGGGTATATTTGGGAAAATTAAAGAAAAAAGATGAATAAGCTCGTTGAATCGCTAGTCCGAGTAGCTTTTTGAAAAGTTAGCTTATAAGCTACTTTTTGGACTGCCAAACATAACAACCTAAAAAAAAGCTCGAAAAATAAGCTAGCTATGTATTTAAATTTTTTTAACTAATTATAGCAGTGAAAGTTGCTTTGTATTTAAATGATATTTGCTATAATCGATTAGATTTTTTTTTGAAGAAATTAAAGTAGGATGCTATAATATTCAAACAGATGAAAGTACATTATCATTTCTTGCATTTACATTATATAAGGGTAAAGAGATAAGAGATTAGTGATTTAATAATAATAATAATACCTCTGTTCCTAATGCATGTATACTAGCTTCTAAACCATCCTCCACAAAAATCTTCACAACATTGTCTGCTACAAGATAAACCTGTTGGAAGTATGAATTTTATCACTTACAAGATTTTTAATTTAATTAATTTTTTTTTTAATTATTGGAAAATGAACTTACAGGATTGCTACCAGTGCCAACTGGAAACTTCTCCTCATCTACAGGCAAAGAAATATTATGGAAGGCACATAATTCTTCCATGCAATTTGACCATTTATCAGCATGTAACGCAATACAAGCTCCCTAAAATTCCACCACATCATGTAAATTAAAAAAAAAAAAAAAAAAGGTAAGAAAAAAAAAAGTTACTACCTTCCATATTAAGTCTCTTAATCCAGGTTTCCCAATCCAAAGCTTCCATAACCAATCTCTCAATTCCCTTTGTCCAATACAATTACTTGTGCTCCATAACGAATTATAATGATCTCTATCCTTATCCAAAAACATGGTAAGAAAATTTATATCATAACAAAACTCCTCCATGTGGTCATCAGTTTTCACTCTTTTCTCCTTTCTAGAAACTTCATTGTCATTGTCATCCATGGATGGGAATTCCCTATTATGCCCTTCACTAAGGGCGAGCAATCCAGCACGACAAACACCTTTATGTTGATACCCAGGGGCCATATCGAGACATACAAATTCAAAATTTTTTGAGTTCACATAATTTTGTGTCACAGCAATTGTGGTTTCAAGGTTTAGAACACAGTGCCACCACCCAGTTGGAACATAAATCGTTTCACCGGGTAGTTGTGTACATTCTATTGGCTTATCTTCATCAGCAAGAAGTGGGTAGAACTCCAACCACCACTGAGAATAAATAAATAAAATATGACATGTCATAACAAAATGGCAACATACTTTTGTTGGTTTCTTAATTATATAATATATACTTTCATTTCTTCCTACTACAACATTGTACTTTTAAAA